GGACAACATGGTTGTGGCTCCGCCCCCGATCTTCGATGGAACGTGGTAGTCGTGGCCGAGGAGGCGAACGTTGATGGCGTGGCCATGTCTCCGCACCAGACCCCTCGGGAGCTTGGGTGCGTTGATGGCGTGGTCATGTCTCCGTCTGTTTTACACATTTGATTCTGTCGCATGGTTTCTCCTGTCACCTTGGTGGATGATAATGTGCAGTCCTCTTCTTTTGCCTCACAATGCACCCACGCCCTGCGGGTGTGGAAGGCGAGAGGCCCGCTTTCGCCATGAACTTCCTCTCGTTCGATCAAAGCGTTATGCAGAGGCATGTGTCTCTCCGCCCGTCGGAAGTTCTTCAAGTTCTGTCAGGTGGCATTTAGGGGCGTGTTGGTCTCCGGCGTGCGGTTCCTCGCTCCACCAAACCTATCATGTCATCTCCGCCGGCCTCCCCAATTGCTGCCTTTGTTTTCAAGGTGGTTAAACCGGTGGACGCTATCCTGTCGGCCCCCCTAGTTCCTAAGAGAAGGAAGAAGATCCTGCCATCCAACTTTGTGCCAAGACGGAGCCCGCCGTGTTGCTAATCTTCCTCCAACAACGGTGATCATAGTGCGGCAAGTGTCGGTTTTGCCAAATCAATTAGGCTTTGCTTGATGGTGAAGAAAGGGTTTCTATTGTCGCCATGGAACACTACGCCACCTTGTTTGACCAACCTCTATCCAGGGAACATCTGAAGGCATTGGCTGCCCTGTCCGGGTGGGATGCACCTCCTGGCGATGAAGTGCGGGCTGCAGATGACATTCTTGTTGTTTGATTTCTGTAGTTGGTCTATCCAATCTTGTTATCTATGGATTCTTCTAGTATTTTAATTTGGAATGTTCATGGACTCAATGACAAAATCCACCGGATATGGTTCACCAAGTAGTGCGATCTTTGTCACCGATGATAGTATGTTTGCAAGAGACCAAATTATCTCATATTTCCTAGCGTGATGTGTTATCTATTTTGGGGCAGAACTATAGTTCCTTTGTCGCTCGCCACTCAAGGAACAAGAGGAGGGATTCGGTAGCTTGGCGGGATGGATCATCCAATGTTGAACACTATCGAGTGCATAGGCATTCGATTTCGGTCTTATTCGGGATCATGGACAAGCAACCATGGTGGTTCTCTGGAATTTATGGTCCTCACGAAGATGCGAGAGAGAAACCCGCTTTCCTTGATGAGTTTGCGTGAAGTTAGGAGTTTTGTGGTGGACCTTGGATGCTTGTTGGGGATTTTAATATGATTTCTGATTCGGAAGATAAAAACAACGATAATATCAATAGGGCACTAATGGGAAGATTTCGTCGCTTTGTGAATGAGATGGAACTGAAAGAGATACCTTTGTTGGGTCGTCGTTATACTTGGTCAAATGAAAGATCCTCCCCCACTCTTGTCAAGTTGGATAGAGTGTTGTGTACTACAGATTGGGAAGACTTATACCCTAACTGTATATTACAAAGCCATGCGACTGAAATGTCTGATCACAGTCATCTTGTCCTTGGTCTTAAAGTTGGTGTCAAGGGTAGGACGTGTTTTCATTTTGAAAGTTTCTGGACACGCCTTCCTGGATTCCTTGACATGGTAAAGAGTTCTTGGGATGAACCAGTTCAGACATCTTGCCCTCTGGAATGTTTCTCCATCAAGCTGAAGCGATTAACTCGTGCTTTGCAATCCTGGGGTGCAAAAAGAGTTGGACACATAAAAACTCAACTTGCTCTAGCTCGTGAAGTGTTGCATAGGCTGGAAGTGGCCCAAGATAGGAGGACTCTATCCATTGGAGAGGACTGGCTCTTGATAATCCAATCATGGAGGAAGAAGTTTGGGAAACTATCAAGTCTATGCCATCAGATAGAGCCCCAGGTCCAGATGGGTATACTCGCAGATTTTACAAGGCATGTTAAGGTGTAATTAAAGCAGATCTCATGGCGGCAATTATCACGGTTCAGCAAGGTCAAGCAAGGAGGCTTGGGACTGTTAAATGCAACTTATATCACTCGATTCGAAGAAGAAGAATGATGCGGTGGCTGCGAAAGATTTTTCGCCCCCATTAGCCTAGTGCACTTGATGTAAACTTTTAACTAAGATTCTTGCTAATCGACGCGCCCCTTATTGGACTCTCTTCTAATCAAAGTGCATTTGTACGGGAAGATGCATTCATGATAACTTCATTCTAGTGCAGCAAACAGTTAAGGTGCTACATTGACAAAAGGTGCCTAGCCTCTTTCTTAAATTGGATATCTCCAAAGCTTTTGATTCGTGTCGTGGCCATTTCTCTTAGAAGTCTTTGAAACATTTGGGGTTTGGAAATTCTTGGCTTAATTTGGTGGCCAATCTGTTATCCTCTTCATCAACTCAAATCTTGTTGAATGGAGAACCGGAGATCTAATACATCATCGTGAGGTCTTCGACAAGGGACCCTTTATCCCCATGCTCTTTATTTTAGTGATGGATGTCTTTGAACGGTTTATTTGTAAAGGCTGACAAGTGAGGGAAATTTGTTAATTGCTATCCCCAAGGGTGGCTAGACAAAGACTTTCTCAGATATCTTGATGATGTTGCCATATTTATTAAGCCAATTGAAGAGGAGTTTTGGTCACTAGAGATATTGTCAAGGTATTTGGTGACGCTTGAGGTTGCATACCAATATTCGTAAAAGTAACATCATCCCCATCGGTTGCCAGGGAGAGTCCTTGATAGCTATTCATGATATTCTCATCATGTACTAACTCGGTGTTCCCATGCAAATATTTGGGCTTACCTTTGTCAAACAAAAAGCTTCTTAAGAGGGACCTTATGCCATGGATTGAGAAAATAGGCGATAAACTCCCGTCTTTGGAAGGCGGCTCTCATGAAACAGGGTAGTGGTCGTGCCACATTAGTCCGGTGTGTTCTTTTTACGCCATGCCTATTCATTTGTTAATTGCCATCAGCGTCTGAAATGGTTCATCAAGGCAGAGACAAAATCGAAGGGGCTTCTTATGGCAAGGAAAGGATAAGGCTAATGGAGGTTGTTGTCTGGTGGCTTGGGAGAAGGTCATGAGACCATTGGATCTTGGTGGCTTGGGCATAGCCAACTTGGAGGTGATGGCCTGGGCTTTACAAATCAGGTGGCAATGGTTTAAAAAGACTAAAGTTGATCGTCCATGGTCTGATCTAGAATTGCCTTCGCACTCTAACTCGCTAGCCCTTTTTGCCATTGCAGTCATGACTGAGGTTGGGAATGGTCAGAATACTCTTTTCTGGACTGATCGGTGGCTTCACGGGTGTTCGATTGAAAATCTTGCGCCATCTGTCTATGCTTGTGTTTCTCCTAGAATTCTCAATAGCCGGACTGTGGCTGCAACTCTAACCAATGTGCAATGGCCAAGAGATATTCAAGGAGGCCTTTCCTGGACTGGTATTAGAGAATTCTTGCAGCTATGGGATTGTCTCTTGGGATTTACCTTAACTGACCAAGAGGATCATCACATATGGAGGCTAGATTCAAGTGGTTGCTACTTTTCCAAATCTTCATATAAAGTGTTTTTCTGTGGTGCTGTGACCTTTGAACCTTGGCATCGGTTATGGAAGTCCTAGGCCCCAAGCAAATGCAAAATGTTTCTGTGGTTGGCAATCCGTAATAGATGTTGGACGGCAGACAGGCTCGCTAAGAGGGGCCTCTCTCATCCAGATAAATGCCCCCTATGCGATCAAGAAGATGAGACAATACAACGTCTGTTAACATCTTGTGTGGTGGCAAGACAAGTTTGATTTAGATTATTTTCTATTTTGAACCTAGCAGATTGTGTCCCCCACCATAACGAACTAAGCTTTGCTGATTGGTGGCGCAAGACTATTAACAGAGTTAATAAGGAGCACAAGAAAGGAGTGAATTCTCTAATTATTCTTGGGGCCTGGATTATTTAGAAACATAGAAATGCATGTATTTTTGAGGGGGCCTCACCTTCGATTAACTTGATTTGGAGTGAGCTGAAGAATGAGCACAGCCTTTGGTGTTTGGCTGGTGCGAAAAAGCTAGAAGGGCTAGATTTGTTCAGACTAGGTCCTTCTAGTTAAGGTCGTGTCGGGTTTGTTTTTATGGGTCTTATTCTTGTGTATGTGTAATCGCCTCATTCATATTTGGTCCCCGTACGAGTGAGGATCCTGTTGGGGACCCCTTTTCATTCTCTATAATACAATGAAACGTAGCTCCTGCGTTTTTTTAAAAAAAAAACTAGCTTTTGCTCTTAGACTAACTAGAGCAAATTCCTGTTTAAAAACCGTCTTACATCTGTACACTGAATGAGCAAGATTTCTGAAGATGATGTCATTCCTCATCATCCAAATAACCCAGCACATGGTGATAATGATTTCCCAGAAAAAAGGCAATATTCGTCGGTGGCCGCTGACTATTCAAATTCTGTCCATGCCGACGGTGCTCTCCGACGTGCTCTTATTTGAAGAGTAGGATCGGACCGGCCCGGGGCCGTACATCGGGTGCGCCATCGCGCTAGGCGTGCGAGCGCGGACGGCGTACAGATCGCCGCTCGCGACTCGGGCCTCATCTGAACCCACGAGGGGTCATGGCACGGCGGCGAGGGTCAGCGGCGGGCGGGTGCCGCCGACAGCCGGTGAGGATGGGTAGCGTACTGACGTCACGGGGCACGACGAGGAAAGGAGACGATTGTCTGGGATCATGTCTTTTTTTTTTTTGACAACACTGGGATCATGTCTTTGACGGAACACCAAAGATAGTGGAGGGCTCGGTCTGAAGGACTTGAGAATCCAGAAACACCTACTTGCTTCTGAAAAATGATACACAGGTTGCATCAGAGTAATCCTTCGTCGTGCATTGGATCCCTCACTGGTAATCTCAACACTGGGAGATGCTGCGATCACTACTACCACTATACCGGGCAATCACGACTGTCCAGCTTGGCAATGGGTGTAACACATCCTTCTGGCACGATGTTTGGAACGGTGAAGACTCCATGGCTGACAGATTCCCTGAACTATACATACAGTCACTGCAACAATCAGGAAGTGACAGTGCAGCAAGCAGCGCAGCATGGGCTCACAGATTCACTAGTTGCGCGACATCTCTGGTCGCCACGGAGCAGCTCGATGAAGCAATGCAAATAGCCAACCAGCAAGTGCTGACCACGGAACAAGACAGAAGAAAGAGCTTACTGCTGAAGCCAGATGGGGACTTGGACACATCAGCCATATACAGTGCTCTCAAGACGGCAAACGCAACCCCTGATGCCTGGACAAAATTTGTTTGGAAAAAACAAGCCCCAAAAATAGGGAGGCAGGGCACTGAATAAACCAAGTTCAAACTGAGTATACTGGCTTACCAATTTCAAACTGAGTAAATAAAGCCTTTATACTCGCTTTCAATATCAGCATGTGACAAATTCAAGAATGGAAAAAAAACTCTTTTGAAATGAGCAAGACCACTTCCACCACGATTCCTACTGCAGCATCCATCCAAGATGTGAAGCAGGGAAGAACAAAGACAGTGATATTAGTTTGTGATATGAACTATGAACTAGATTCATCATTCTATTCATTAGTACAGTTACATCACATTCATCATTCTGACAAGCACGAACTTTCAGAAAAATGGGAGAATATTAAGCGAAAGGACTGTAGAAATGATAGTACAGTGAACTGAAGAAATGTTTCATATTATATATTTATAACTTTTATGACTGGAGCATCAAAACTAAAGTATCAATATCATAGATAATATTCTTTTACTTGCCAATCAACTGATTTCCGGCAATATCAATTGTGTTTCGTATATAGATATTTGATTTCAAGCACTGAAATTATAAAGCCAAAGCAACATTCTACAATAAAATCTATGTTCTTTCTGTTATAAAAAAAGTAACACCACGGAGATGGTGTGGGGACTGTTCAAGCTATGAATAATCCTAGATGACAATAAATCATGCGCACAGACATCGTTATAACTGCAACTACTGTGAGCATATTCTGCTCTTCTCCCCAAGCACCACTCTTCAAATAAGACATGCTAACTTAAAGCATAAAAAAAAGGTACTGACATTGAATCAAAATCAATCAAGAAGTAATTAAAATAGAACTTTGGAAAAGCTGTTAGTGGAACGACATGACCATATCAGCTCCTGCTACATAGAGGCAATAATCCTATGTCAAATCTCAGCCCATTAAACAGGAACATACCTAATTATATGAGAACAGACAGGATGACAAGGAAAACAGAATTTAAAAGAGCTGATGTATAACTGATCAATTCACCATTTGTTTTTCCTGCACTAAATTAGTGTGCCAGAGCAATGCAGTAAATACCAAATCATTTTTTCATACAAAACAAATTACTAAGAAATATTCCACCTGGCACACTCTTTTCCATCAACATAATTTACTCTTTGTGACTGTCTATAAATGTCACATTTTTCCTACTTGCTATTAAGAACCATTTAAGCTTAAGAAACAACTAAAAATTGGATATGTAATACAAAAACAATTAAATTAACATCTTGATGCTCTGATATTACTACTAATTATCGCTAGTACCACCATAGTTCCCCAGCAATCTCAATAATATGAGCACATAAGGTAGTATTTATGAAATCAATTAATAAATGTTCAAACAAAACAATAAATTGCTATACTACATCCTATCCTGCAATACCAACAAGTCTACAGTTGAAGTGAAGAGACCAGCCATCCAAGAAAGTCATGTTACCATGAACAAAACTTCGAAACTTTGCTAGACAAGCAAGCAGTAAATGGATCCCATAGCTCTTACCTGAGCTATCAAGTAATAGAGCATCCAATGATCAACAAACCAACCATAATCTGTTCCACTGCCTGCTCAAGAATCACTATACCACATACAGAAATATGTTGGAATGGCATCTTACAACACCACTAAAATGGTCAGATTGTATATACTAAGCTATAAAATGCTGTCAACTTTTAAGGGGTGTTCAAGCTTTTAAATCAAATATGTGGTAAGTTTCCCTATGCATGCTACATTCTCCTATTTAAACACCAGGAGAAATTTATAACTCATTGAGTCATCTCAACATCAATCAATAAATTATTCTTCATGTATTCACCTGTGATATCATCTTCACCAGTCAAATGAATTTTCAAAGTTACTAAGCTATAATATGCAAATGAAAAATAAGAAATTGGCAATCAGAGGCCTGAAATTACTACCAAGTAAAACTTATAGTGCAAAGAAAAACAAAAGAAATGTTTTTGTTACAGAGGAAACAAGATTTCAGTCATAGATACGATTTTATAAACACCCTTCGGCACTTGAAACTACCCAACAGAACCTGACTTGTGCAAACAGAGCAAAAGAACAGCACTTTACAAAGTTTAAGGTTCAACACAGAAGTTCCCTTGCATTCTTTCATACAAACTCATGGAGTATTAGCAGGGGTGAAAATAGTACAGATATTTTCCGACCGTATTCAAGACCGAATTCGTTTAGAGGGGTTTAGATCTGTCCAGATATTCAACATCCGATACCGTATCCGTATTCGAATACTCAAATCGCATATTTATTATGTCGATATCCAATCATATCCTATCCGTCACGGTTGACACTATCCGTATTCGAATCCGAATCCGGACAGAAATATGAAAACAAATGTGATATCAGAGATATCCATCCGTATCCGATCCGTTTTCATCACTAAGTATTAGTGAAATATGCAACACAGATATAAATGTACTAATGCATTTCAGGAACTAGCCAATTGGTCAAATCGATAGCAAAAGAACTACCTGGAATTGCCATCCATATTTTTATACAAATAGCAGTTTCAGATAGATTACGCGCATACAAGTACATCACAGGCAAAAGTGACCAAATCAACATACAGAAAAGGTACTTTTGGCAAACTCAAAATAATAATTTGTCTCAATAGAAGCATGACTCAGAATCAGATGCAATAAACTGGCTTTCAGGCAACCATGTCTAAGTTTCTCTCCATGTTGAATTCACAAAAACCTCCTGAATAAGTAGAATAGAAGTTATAAAATCCCTAGCCGATTTCTGAATGTGCGGTAATGAAGCATCAACAGCATCATCAGAAACATGATAGTGGAATGTTGTCCGAGGATGAAAGTGGAATGTTGTCCGCGGAGAAGGGGTCATCTAGTGACATGTCAATGGCATTTTGGAAGATCCGGCTACCATCCATTTTGGCAAGGATAACATCAGCACTGCTTCCACCTCTTGATGCTCCCTTGCTCTCAACAAAAGATGCTTCCTTGCTCTGAACAAAAGAAGCTAAGACCAAGTCCATCGCCACCTTGTTATTAGGTGAGGGACAAAGGCCCACAGCCTTGAGCGCTTTCCCCTCTCTGATCATGTACTGCAGGAACCCAATCTCGTTTGTCTGCACCAGGCACCCATAAACAATGAGAGTGTTCAGATGCAACTGAAGGCACTCGCAAGAATCCAGGGATTCCCAGAACTCTAGACCATGGGCACTGTTAAGGGGCTTGGATGGAATGGCCTGGAATAGAGCAGAAGAGATGTTAACACATTTTGAATCAAAAACTGCAAATCAAGTACCACTGATCATAGAATGAGCTGGTATCTTATATTATATAAATTCCAGATTACAGCAATAAAGTACTAGAACAAGATGCTATCTATGTAACTTGGCGTCAGCCATTACCAGGACATGCAGCTTCTCCAGGTGAGGAAAGCATTTGAGTAGGGTGGACAACATTTTGGCCTCCTGGTTGCATGCAAACTGAAGTGTCACAGCGAGTATTTTCAAGCTCGGAACCATGGCCCTGGCCCTCACGTTCATTCTGGCCTGCCATTTAAGTAACACAACATTATACAATGTTCCACATGATGAATGACGAGTGAAGAACACATGAGTCACATAATCAAACAAAGATACCCTGATTGCAATGCCACCAATCTCCAGCTTGTGTAAGTTGAGGTTGAGGAACCCGAGCACTTCCAGCCTAGGTGCGCTAACAATCTTGATGGACCTCCTTGTGTCAATGGTCTGGAAGATCATCCGCTCGAGGCAGGGAGCGTCTTCAGCAGAGACCTCATCCAGGGTGGATTGCCAATCCACCGCAACACGGAGGCTGGGGGACACGATGCGGAGGCGTGACAGTGCGCCGTAGGACATGACGATGGAGAAGATCTCGAGCTTCGGGCAGTGCGCGAGCAGGGCGTCCAAATCTTTGTCGCGGACAACGCAGTGGAAGAGGCCGAGTTCGCGGAGCTTGTGAAACACGGACGGGCGAGCTGCGCTGCCGCTGATCTTCGGGAAGTGCCACACGCCGAGGTAGAGGCGCTCGAGGGAGGCGCAGCGGAGGATGTCCTCGGGGAGCGGCATGTTGATCGGCCACGGGCGGTTGAAGAGGATGAGGTCCTGGACGTCCTTGTCGGAGAGGTCCGCGACCAATCGCTCTAGCGCGTACTCGTTGCCGTAGAAAGACGCGGGTGACGCGCGCGGCGCGGACGGGGCCAGGGTGCGCGGCCACGCAGCGCGACACGGCGCGCATGATGGGGATGTCGGAGTGCCGGTCGGCGCCGACGAAGTGGGCGTCGTCAACGAGGAGCGGAGTGGCGGCCCAGACGCCGCCCCCGCGCGTGGAGAGGACGACGGTGCGGGCGGCCTCCTGGGTGGTGAGGCGGGAGACGATGTTGGAGAGGAGTGCGTCCGGGAGGTGGCTGATGTGGTCCTCGCCGTCGCCGACCGCCGCCGGATGGAACGCCGCGGCGGGGTCCGTGCCGGCGACGCCCGAGGCCTCGGAGTCGGAGGAGGTAAGGGAGAAGCGCTCGTTGTCGGAGTCGGAGTCGTCGCCGGCGACCTCGGGGGTGGGGACGAAGGGCCGGGGCAGGAGGGAGATGAGGAAGGGGAAGATGTAGTCGATGCGCTCCTGCGCTGTCGGGCCCTCCAAGGACGTGAAGAACTGCTCTGCCTGGGCGTACGTCATGGGGCCTCGGTCCTCGCCGCCGCCGGCGTCCATGGCGGCGATCGGAGTAGGGTTCGACGTTGGGGAACGGGGTTTTGGGAGGGGAGACGGTAGCGACTAGCGAGAGCGCTGTGCGGAGGGCTGCTGGACCAGTTGCCACTGTCGAGTGTCCACCGAGGCACCGACGAGTGTATAGTCTTTTAGAACAAGAAAAAAAGATGCACGTTACCGTCCTCAACTTTTACGAGAAAAAAAAGTGCACGCTTCTCAACTTTGGTAAAAGTCTACTCTTTCTCCCTATACTCTAAAAACAGATAAAACCATCTCTCTAAACTTTTAAAACAGTTCGTTTTATCTGACTGACCGGTTATAAACAATTTTTTTAAAGACGATTTTATCTTTTTTATTTATTTATTTTGGATGAATCTTAAAAAAATTATAGTAAATTACAGATGAATCATAAAGTGAAAATTTCAATTTTATTGGACTCCATGTGAGTAGATCTACACAATGAACATATAATATGTTATGTTTTAGTACAAATTTGTTCCTGTAGTTTTAAATATATGTTTTTCTGTAATTAATTCTTAGCTACAGTTTCTATGGTCTAATTGTGATAAAGAGTGGGCTAATTATTATATGCTTGAACTATAGTAAAAATTTCATACTCACTGGATCATATATATAACTTAGTTATAGATTTATTTAGGTGTATGTTTGTTAAAAAGTATTTATAAAAAGTATAGCAGTGTCACTTTGAAGCATATCATCGAACACCTTCATTGCATGCCTTGCTTCTCCTCGAAGCGTCATGCCTCACTGCCAGAGACTCACGTGAAGATGCTCCAAAAGTTGCCTTAACGGATCTCCTGCTGCCCTACAAAAATGGTAGCACGCGACATCTATGATGGCTCACTTGCAGCTAGCTAGCAATGGATGCTACCAATTCCCTGGCAGTGCTGCACCTCCTAAGGTCATCTCGGGCCTTGTTTAGATGCCATTCAAATTCTAAGTTTTTTTCACTCTTTCTTCGTCACATCAATTTTTAGCCGCTTGTATGGAGTATTAAATGTAGGTAAAAAAATAACTAATTACACAATTTAGTTGGAAATCACGAGATAAATCTTTTGAGCCTAGTTGGTCTACGATTGGACAATATTTACTAAATAACACGAAAATGATACTATTCATCGAGTTCAAAAATATTTACAAAGTGAACAAGGCCTTGGTCGAGGCCCGTGGCAACGCGGGGCGCCGGAATAGGGTCCAATTTAGTTTACAAAAAATTTTGCAAAATTTTTCACATTCTTCGTCACATCGAATCTTTGGACGCATGCATGAAGCATTAAATATAAATAAAAATAAAACTAATTACATAGTTTAGACGAAATCCACAAGACGAATTTTTTAAGCCTAATTAGACTATGATTGGACACTATTTGTCAAATAACAACGAAAACGCTACAGTACTCATTTTGCAAAATTTTTTGCATCTAAACAAACCCTAGGCCACCACCGTAGTTCATCCTGGGCATTCGGTCAGACCGAACCGATCGGTTCGGTTCTTCGGTCATTCGGTCAGTTCGGTCATCAGAAACCTGGGACCGATCGGTCTTTGAAAAAAACGAAGACCGAGGAAGTTCGGTCTCGGTTAGTTCGGTTCGGTCTCGGTCACGACCGAACTAACCGGACCTGAGTAGCAGCCACAAACAATAGCAGAATCTATAGCAATTTTCAACAGCATGCTTGCTATTTGAAGGCAAAAAAATAACAACACAATATATAAAACAAACCAAACATTATTATGACAAGTTCTAGCACACAACTTTATCAGTTCTCACAAATCACAATCACACATAATGACATGACGAACGAAGTCTACAGAACTACGGTCAGTTCGGTCACTTCGGTTAACCGACACATATGACCGAACTTCTATCGGTTACTTCGGTTAGTTGGGAGCTAGGACCGAACTCATGACCGAACTTTTCGGTCTCGGTCTTTTCGGTCTCGGTCTCGGTCTTTTTGGTTCGGTCTTCAGTCTTCGATTAATTATGCCCAGAGTTAACCGTAGTGTGCTTGTGCGGATCGAGCGCGAGCAGGTCGATGATGTTCATGTTCCCGACGGCGACAGCTCATTGTCTACGACGCCATCTGCCTCCAGCCTCTCTACGCCACTACGGATCAGATGGCCGGCCGTCGAGCACCTCGTCACCGACCACCTTCGGGAAGTAGAATCACCACCGGGACTGTAGACATTTTGTATATGGCTCATGGCTGTAGACATTTTGAAAGATTTGATAAGGAATTTGACAAGAAAATTTGAGACAATTTGCGTACGTTCAAATCTGAGTATTTTCTTTTAAAAATGAAAAATTGAAAGCATTTTAACATCACGATGACAGAAAATTAACAGAAAAATGATTCTCATTGTTCAAATCAGGCTTATCGATTCCATTCCGTGCATTATTCCCCTTACCGTCAATCCCAGTCCTAGCGATGGGTATTCAAATGAGTATTTCTTTTATAATAATCCTGTTGCATCTTGGTAGATCTTGGTAACAAGGAAATCAAGGAAACAATCTGATTTTCGGTAGAAATCAAGAAAACGAGAAACATGATTTCTTCCCAATACACCTGAGATGCAAAGAATTAAGGGAAAGAGTGAGATTGACCGTAGCTCCTTAAGTTATTTGCAGGTGACATATAGGTTTCTAAAGTTTCAAAATATATTTTTATAGGTTTCTGAAGTTAGTTCGGGTCTCATCAGGTCTAAACGAACATTTAACCGTCCTGGCAACTGACATGACATGCTGGCTCAACGCCTTATATGGATCTGTCAGCGACAAGGCTCAATCTTAGAAAAATATCTTATCTTTTTCATATGATCTCAGATGAACATTATTATATTTGAAAATTGTAGTCATTGATGAGATCTACAACTTTCTAATTTTGAGTTTTTTTATTTAAGATTATTGAGATGCTCAAAAAATATTATAAAGTTTCAACAACATATTAATCGTGTATCAAACTTGTAAAAACGATATCTTTCTCGTATGGTGTCAAATAAAGATACTCTGTATATGAAAATTGTAACTCTCAATGAGATCTATGAATTTATAGTTTTGAATTTTATCATTTTAGGTCATTAAGATGGTTAAAAAGTAATACAAAGTTTTAGTAGCATATTAATCGTGTACTAGGTCTTGTTGCCTTAGAAAAATAATACAGTGTATGATATCGGCTAAAGATATTTTTTATATGAAAGTTGTAGCGTTTGAATTAAAGTGGCACATAAGCTTTTTAAACTTCTCTTCCGGCTATATAGAAATGTGATGTGATACGAGATGTAACGTAGTATTTGTTCAAAAATTTTTTGGTTAATTTATTGAAAACTTTTCAAGGCTATTCGTCTAGATTTCGGAATAGAATATCTAAAATTCATGGGTCCTATTGTTTCTCAGACCTGAAGTACAACTAAGCATATGTGCCGACCAAAGCTGGTTGTTGTTATACTCGGAGTCCAGAAATAAGAGGGTTTGGTGGAATAGGAGGTATGTCAAACGAGAAAGTTCGAGGCAAAATGGAGATAGACGAGTAGCTGCAATGAAATTCAACAGCCATAGCAGGAAGCGTTCAAAGATAAAGCTATGCTCAAGTCAGAAACGGTCAGACAAGCAGAACACAACGCGGAATCTGCCAAAGATAAAGCTAGGCTCAAGTTCGTCCACGTATATTGGTTGAATCGGTGAATCAAGCGCGCTCCCGATACTATTTATCCAGAGGCTGATGGATCGATAGTTCGACATTATCTGCGTGCTACTCTTTGATTAGCCTAGCTAGCCCTATCTAGTGTAGGACACTTTCTTTTTTTTTCCCTGGCGATGATGCTTCCGGAAGCGGCACTGCTGCTGGCAATGGTTTTGCAGCTCTCCTCGGCGGCATCGTCCCAGGCTGCAGGCGCAGCAGGATGGGGACGACCGCCGGCGAGCTGCCCAACCACCTGCGGCAACGTTAGCGTGCCGTACCCTTTCGGCATCCGCGACGGCTGCTCCCTCCCTTTCCCTGGCTTTAACCTCACCTGCGACCAAACGCGGCATCCGCCGAGGCTGCTGCTCGGCGACGGCGGCACCCTCCAGGTCGTGGAGATCTCGCTGGCCAACTCCACGGTCCGCGCCATGGACACCGCCGGTGCCGTGCACATCACCTACTACACTGTACCAGGGCAAATGTACGTAAATTATAGTTTTGCACCCCTCAAAGATGAAAAAACAGTTACTTTAGCTAAAATTTCATATGCACCTCCTACGATAATTATGCGCCCACAGGACAAGTTCACCTCGGCCTTGCTTAGATTGTAAATTTTTGCAACCTGGATACTGTAGCACGTTTCGTTTGTATTTGACAAACTTTGTCTGATCATGGACTAACTAGGCTCAAAAGATCCGTCTCGTGATTTACAACCAAACTATGTAATTAGTTATTTTTTTACCTACATTTAATGCTCCATGCATACGTCAAAAAATTGATGTGATGAAGAGAGAGTAAAAAAACTTGAAATTTAGAGGTAATTTAAACAAGGCCCTCTTCTAATTTATTCTACCTTCGCGACTGTACGAAATGGCAGGATGCCAGAGGGCAACGGCACCTGGAGCGGCCTTGGCTCCAGCAGCGGCAACACGTACGTCCTCTCAGAGGAGCACAACCAGTTCGTTGTCACCGGGTGCAACTTGCAGGGGATGCTGCTCGGGGACAGCCGCAACGTCATCATCGGCTGCTCCTCGTTCTGCTCCATCAGGGACATCTGGGTAAACCCCGTGGTGAACACGAGCCGCGCCCCTGGCGACGTAGCGGTGGTCTGCTCCGGCGTCGGCTGTTGCCAGACGCCCATCCCCATCGGCCGCCCTAACTACACCGTCCAGTTCAAGTACCTGGACCTCGAGTACACGGGAAAGCTGCCCATGGCGCTGCGCATCGCCGAACGCGGTTGGTTTGACGGCGTCGCCGCCCAGATGCTGAACGAGTCAGCGACGGACGAAGTCCAGCAGGTTCCGGTTCCGGTGGTGCTGGACTGGGTGGTGGCGTCCACCCCGGTAGCGCTCCCGGGATCGACGGCCGCAGAGGACACCGGCAACTGGTCCTGCCCCGTCGACGCGGCGAGGAGCGCGTGCAGAAGCAGCCACAGCACCTGCCACAACGTCACCGGCAACTACCGAAACGGCTACGTGTGCCGGTGCCAGGATGGGTACGACGGCAACCCCTACCTTGCCGGCGACGGCGGATGCCAAGGTATGCACGGGCACCGTTGCGTGCAGGTGCAGCAGTACTTACATGTTGACATTGACCTGACATGCCTGTTTGGTGTTTGCTTCAACAGATATCGACGAGTGCGCGCTTCCAGAAAAGTGTTTCGGCGTATGTACAAACAGGGACGGTGGGTACAACTGCCGATGCCCGCGCGGTGCTCGTGGCGACCCCTACAAGGCAGATGGCTGTGTCAAAACTTCTCTTGGTGAGCAGACAACCACTCGATTACCTCGATGACGTATTTCTTACTCTGTTTTAGTATTCCTTGGTGGTCATTTCCTTTGGCCCCGTACATGTCATAATTAATTAATTCAAAGCCTAATATAAAGTAGTACTCTTACCCGGATAGAAAAATGCTTACTTTCTCAGGGTTAAGTGTTGGCCTCGGAGTTGGCAGTGGAGCAGGTCTTTTGGTCCTGGTTCTTGGTTCAACCTTTGTGGCTCGTGGGATCAAGAACCGGAGGGCAAGAATGCTGAAGCAGAAGTTCTTCAAGCAGAACCGTGGACATTTATTACAACAACTGGTATCCCAAAACACGGACATCGCTGAGAGAATGATCATCCCCTTGGTAGAACTTGAGAAAGCCACCAATAATTTCGATAATGCTCGCAAGCTTGGTGGAGGAGGACACGGCACCGTGTACAAGGGGATCTTATCGGACCTGCATGTTGTCGCGATTAAAAAATCAAAAGTGGCAATCCAGAGAGAGATCGACGAGTTCATAAATGAGGTAGCTATTCTCTCGCAAGTCAATCATCGGAATGTAGTGAGGCTTTTTGGGTGCTGCCTTGAGACCGAAGTGCCACTATTAGTATATGAATTCATTTCAAATGGGACACTTTATGATTATCTTCATGTTGAAGGACCAACACAATTGGGATGGGATCACAGACTGAGAATTGCAACAGAAACCGCCAGAGCTCTTGCCTACCTTCACATGGCTGTGTCCTTCCCTATAGTTCATAGGGATGTAAAGTCGCATAACATTCTATTGGATGGCTCTCTAACAGCTAAAGTGTCTGACTTTGGAGCCTCAAGGTGCATTCCACCTAATCAAACAGGGGTTACAACTGCCATCCAAGGAACATTGGGATATCTAGACCCCATGTACTACTACACGGGAAGACTCACTGAGAAGAGCGACGTTTACAGTTTTGGTGTTGTTCTAATAGAGTTGCTCACCAGAAAGAAACCATTTTCATATAGATCACCTGAGAATGATGGCTTAATTGCACAATTCACTTCCTTGCTTACACATGATAACTTGTCTTGTGTACTCGATCCTCAAGTAATGGAGGAGGGAGGCAAAGAAGTCAACGAAGTAGCTGCATTGGCTGCTATATGTGTGAAGCTAAAAGCAGAGGAGCGACCAACCATGAGACAAGTGGAGTTGACCCTTGAAAGCATCCAAGAATCACTGCAACAAGTAAAGCTACATAGTGTTGGTCCGAGCAAATCTAAGGAAGATGTGATGTTTCCAATAGTTGAGGGTAGAAGCACGAAAGAGTCAAGTAGACAGTATAGTCTTGAAGAAGAGTTCTTGTTATCAGCAAGGTATCCTCGTTGATAGCTTCTCACAAAGTCCGATGTAAAAAAGATTGCTATGTTATAGTACATAATTCAAAAGGTTTTGTGATTTCTGATTATTTTGGTAGATAATATCAAACATATTGAATGTATTTGGTGCACATTTATATGTATGTACTCTGTTTGTTTGGAAAACTCAAAATAAGACTTGCACACTCTTAAGCTTATCTAACTTTCATCCCAACGACTTATAGAATTTAGAAAGATAATTTGTAATAAAGATAAAAAATGTCAATAAAACTTTTATCTTCACACTTATTAGTACTTGTGGACGTCTTATGATAATACATGGGTTGGTCTGAGTTGTGTGTTCTGGCACATAGGATGGTACTTTGAGCCCAACAAAGTGATAGTCCAATTTGGGAGCGTGTTTCGGTCTGCGTATGGATAATAAAATTGTACAACATTACAAAGAACTCATAAGATTATTATTATAATATTTTGGTTGAATGAACTATAGGAGGAGGATCATTTAACTATATATATTGCATGGGATATGGCCCTCCAAGTTGCCTCTTTGGTTAGTTTGATGAGATAATCTGAATTTGTTTTGTTTGGCACAATATTTATTCGACGGGATTATCTAGTTTTTTTTGGTTGATGATTACCTCTTCGGCTCTTCCTAACATTCAGTGACTTTACCATTTTTTGGTAAGAAAAAAAAATCTACAGCTATGATCCATAAAAAGGTTCAGACTGCGTTCGGTTCGGTTTATAGACTACTCCATGTTCGCAGTTTCAATTTCGGCAATTTCAAAAAAAAAATGAAACTGAAATCCGAGTAAAAGATCAAGGGTCTGCTTGTTAAATCATTGATTTGGTAGCCAAAAGTTAGGCAAAAGAATTACCCAAGATTTGGCATGCAAAATGTGAGGAGTCAACAAGTTTTGGTAGCCAAGCAAATACTCGCCAAAATCTTGTTAAATCATTGATTTGGTAAATTTTGAAAGCGAACAGAGCAGCCCCAAATCGCCAGTTGTGGCCGGCCCCTCATCTCTGGTTTGCGGGCTTCTGCGGCTATGCCCAAGCATCCGCTGCCGGCAGAGCCCAGCCCACACAAGGCAAGATGCATTTCAGATCTCCCTTGTTTTTTTTAATTAATTAATGTATGTATGTATAATTATGTACTTGTTCTGTATCAAAATAACTATCGTAGTTGTTTTCTGATAAATAACTTTGATATATTAATATGGTACGCAGATAATATTATTAGATATGTCGTTGAATTTATTTTCATAATAAGTTTACTTGGATATACAAATATTGCACGTATTTTCTATAAATCTAGTTAAAGTTACTAACGATGATTAATTTGGGATGAAGGGAGTACACTACTGTATGGTTGTTATATAGTCTCTTCGACTCTTCTCGTTCGCTCCAGAATACAAAGACTGGCGGACAGGTCCAGATGAGAAAACGTCAAAACGATCTGCAGAAGAAGATTATTCAGGAAATTTATTATTTCAGAAAAAAGGGAAGATGGTCCAACTGAATCACACGCTGAAAGTGCTGAGTTTGAAGCGGCGATGCACCGACACGAGTGACGTGTCTACACCAGCGGGTCGTATCCAAAGCCAGCGTCCCCACCCGCGGACCCGCCCGCGTGCTCTGCCTCTCCTCTGGTGGTTTGCGCGGCGCCCCGGAACATTTATTCCGCGTCGCCTCGTGGCACGCCGCACGGCACCGAGACATCCGCCGGAGATGCACCTCAATCAATAACTGCTAGGACTAGTCAGAGTAATCACTACTCCAAGCACCAGCCCGCCGCTCACCGTCTCCTCTCCTGGCGCATTCATTAATCCCCCTCCCCCCTAATCTAATCTCGCCTGCTGCTAATGACTAGCTTGCCCGCTCCCTTCATATATGCCACCAACTCGCTCTGCCAGTACACTCCACTGGTGCTGAAGCAAGCGACCAGAGCCATGGCGACCCTCGCCGCGCTGCTCCTCCTGGTCGCCGCTTCCAATGCCGCCGCGCTGAGCGCCAAGGCCGTGGAGTACCACAGCTTCGTAGCCACCCCGCTCTCGCCCCACGCGTACACCGCTCCGGCTGCGGACGCGGACGAGGATGTCTTCGGCGGCAGCCTTGCCGTCGCGGAGGAGGGCGCAGCAGCCGCCGCCGCGTCGGCCGTGCACTTCCGCGTGGTCCACCGGGACACCTTCGCGGTGAACGCCACCGCGGCCGAGCTGCTCAAGCACCGCCTGCAGCGGGACAAGCGTAGGGCGGCGCGGATCTCGAAGGCGGCGGCCGCCGGTGGCGCCGCGGCCAACGGGACAAGGAGCGGCGGCGCCGGTGTCGCGGCGCCGGTGGTTTCGGGGCTCGCGCAGGGGAGCGGGGAGTACTTCACCAAGATCGGGGTGGGCACGCCCGCCACGCCGGCGCTCATGGTGCTGGACACCGGCAGCGACGTGGTCTGGCTGCAGTGTGCGCCGTGCCGGACGTGCTACGACCAGTCGGGCCCGGTGTTCGACTCGCGGCGCTCCAGCTCGTACGGCGCCGTCGACTGCGCCGCGCCGCTGTGCCGCAGGCTGGACTCGGGGGGATGCGACCTGCGCCGCAGGGCGTGCCTGTACCAGGTGGCCTACGGCGACGGCTCCGTGACGGCGGGCGACTTCGCCACCGAGACGCTCACCTTCGCGGGGGGTGCTCGCGTGGCGCGCGTCGCGCTCGGGTGCGGCCACGACAACGAGGGCCTGTTCGTGGCCGCGGCGGGGCTGCTGGGTCTGGGCCGCGGCAGCCTGTCGTTCCCGACCCAGATCTCCCGCCGCTACGGCCGGAGCTTCTCCTACTGCCTCGTCGACCGCACCTCGTCCTCGTCGTCGTCGTCGTCCAGCGCTGCGTCGGGCTCCCGCTCCTCCACCGTCACCTTCGGCCCGGGCTCCGCCGCGTCGGCGTCCTTCACCCCGATGGTCCGCAACCCGCGCATGGAGACGTTCTACTACGTGCAGCTCGTGGGCATCAGCGTGGGCGGCGCGCGCGTCCCCGGCGTGGCCGAGTCCGACCTCCGCCTGGACCCGTCCACGGGCCGCGGCGGCGTCATCTTGGACTCGGGCACCTCGGTCACTCGCCTCGCTCGCCCGTCCTACTCCGCGCTCCGCGACGCGTTCCGCGCCGCCGCGGCGGGGCTCCGCCTCTCCCCCGGCGGGTTCTCCCTGTTCGACACGTGCTACGACCTGGGCGGGCGCAAGGTGGTGAAGGTGCCCACCGTGTCGATGCACTTCGCGGGCGGCGCCGAGGCGGCGCTGCCCCCCGAGAACTACCTCATCCCCGTGGACTCCAGGGGCACCTTCTGCTTCGCGTTCGCGGGCACCGACGGCGGGGTGTCCATCATCGGCAACATCCAGCAGCAGGGGTTCCGCGTGGTGTTCGACGGCGACGGCCAGCGCGTCGGGTTCGCGCCCAAGGGCTGCTAAAGTGCTAAACGCCCTGAGCCGCTGTCAGAGAGGGCGAGAGAGAGGAAGCGAGGTTAGCGAGCAGCGCGGTTAATTAATTAGCGAGTGATTAGCGGGTAAAGAAGTGAGCCAGCCGCCTTGTTAGTCATAATTAATGGAGGGTGGTGACTGGTGGGTTAGCTTTGCTTGGCCTTGGATGCTGTAAAAAAAGGCAGGCACTGGGCCGCAGTGCTCAGAGTTTGTCATCTGACAGGTTGATGCGCGAGGAGGATATCAGGATAAGGCGGTTGGTGGATGAAGGCTGTAAAAGGCCCTGTTAAAGTGTTTGGGTTAAGTAAAAAAATGGTGCTTAATGTATTGTTCTTGCTGCTGTTAAAGTGTTGAGTTAGAAATGTTGGCTTTGTGCTGGTCACGCCCACGCTGCGTGGTTAAAAACTCATGTTCGCGTACGAGGTTTGGAGCTACGCGGGCAGCGAGCGAGAGAGCGGGTAGATGGATGCAGAGCAACAGCAAGTGCACAGCCTGTCACTTGGAAGTTTTCTAACGGTCCAGTGAGGTGAAGATACTAGTATTTCCCTTTGCCAGTGCGGGGCAGCACTGCACTGCAGGCCTGGACTGGATCTGGCCCCCGCTGCCTTCTTCCCGTTCTCACCTCTCTCGTGGACCGTCGTGTCTTGCCGCTTGCGTGAGAAAGGAAATTTTTTTAACACTTTTTTTAAACTATTTCCAATCACACTTTTTTTTTTTCAAATCTAACATTTTTAGCCGGGTCTATTACCACGGCGCGGCCAAACAACGCTGTCGCGTTATGCATGGCGGCACGCCAACGTCGATGACGTGGTAGGCGCTGCCGCGCCGCACATCTTGGCGCGGCAGTGTCGCGCCATCGCCCACGGCGTGGCAGGGCCAACTTAATGTCGCGCCGCGAGCCTCCCTCCCTCTCTCTGCCTTACGTCGAACAGAGGTGAGGGCGCCCGCGTTGACCCCTCCCGCCTCACAGAAGCCTGCCGCCTCCCGACCCTCCCTTCCCCAAGCTTCTCCTCGGCCTTGGTCACGGTAACGATGCTCTTATTTGTCGTTTGAACGGTGGATTCAAAGATTATGAATGGTAGCTAAGGTTTGGAGGATAAGTATATTTGGGCTAGGGTTTGAAGGAAAATATTAGTTCAATTTTGTCATTATTAAGGTTAATTAGTTAGTTAGAAGCATGTTACCATGTTTAGTGTAAGGTATTATTTTAGTTGTAATGCAAATGGTTCTCCTTTACATTAATTTGCGATGTTTTGATTGATGTTAAATTACAACCGTTTTATTAGATGCAAGACATGTATCAGGAGCAGTTGTGGAAAAAACGGGGTCGTCCTAGAGAATTGTACCCCGACATGTCCAGCAAAGATGCCCCCGTCCCTCCTGATCTCCCTATCCCTAACTGTGATCGTGGTCGTCCGGTCGACGTGTTTCAATCAAGACATCTGGACACAGTGGCTTGTTGCTTCTACATATGCAGTCGTTTTAATGTAAGTAATTCTTTTTGTATGTTTTTTTCTTCATTTGTGTTACTAGGTTACTAATATTTTGTTGGAATCTTATTGTGTAAGCCCATGAGAGATGCTTTTTCTTTCAGTGGATCGACGGTGCAGGCAAGTTTGACTCAAGGTACCTTCTTTTCGATGATTGTTGGAGAGGGAGATATCCATGTGAGCACTTCGAGCGGTGGGTTCCACCTCCCCGTAACCCTCCGCCAATGACGGCTAAGGAGAAGCACTTAGTCGTAGTTAGACGACTCGAGGAACCTCCTCTGTGCTATTGCGGAGATCGAGCTGTGATAAACCCTAAGAATACGTTGGAGTTTGTGTGTCCAAATAAGCATGAAGTAAGTGGACAATGTATCTATTGAAATATTGAGCTATAGGTGTTCATGTACTAATGTCACCTCTTTTAGGTGTTTGCATTTGCGAAGTGTCGTTTCAAGGAGTGGCTCTATGGTCCTAAGAATCAATGGCCGGAGCCATCAAAGGAAAAGAAAAAGGAAAATAAGAAAGAAAGGGTAATTTTCAAAGCACCACCTATCGCCTAGTCCCTTCGGAGCTTGGAATAGGCCATTATTACGGCCATATGGTTGACTATGATGAGGTTGGTTATTGTTGTGGAAAACATGAAATCATACTTTTTTTCTTTTGCTAAGACTTATGATCTAATTTTTCGTTTCAACATAGCACTAGGAAATGCAAGTGGGAATCTTATGATGGTCAAGCTAGGTTCTTGGATGAGTTGAAGGGGAGGCAAGTAATTGCACGGAAGAGGAAATATGGACCTGACTACGTCGACCTATTCGTTAAACAGCAGAAGAAGGACATGAATGAGTTTGCTAGACACAGCGGTATTCGTAACCCGATCGGTGTTAGGCTTGACAAATGGGGGTTGGAGAGACGGAGGGCGTTAGAGGAGCAGAGGGCAAGAAAGGCTACAATGGAGGAGGAAAGAGTACAGATACAGGTCTTGAACGACCATGTTGCTGCATTGTGTGCAAGTGAGTCATTGGAAGCCTTGTTATTTTCGTTGCCTGCTTTTATATGTAATATAATCGCGTTGCTAACTTGTTGCATTTTATACATGAAGGGATTGGATGCAGCGAGGAGCAAGCCACAGAGGTGGCCCGTGTAAGGTATGTGGAAAAGAAGTTACATGAGCACAAAACGCGAGCTGATCGTAGCGTTCTATCTCCGATTGTGTTGGACAATGAGGGAAACAAGGATGAGGATGACACTACCAGGTTGAGCGATCTCATCGCTCTAGCGGAGGCAGGCTTATAGGCGGAGAAGGACAAGGACGACACTGGAAGACCGAGCGAGCTCATCGCTCTAGCAGAGGCGGGCTTGCAGGCGGAGGAGGATGAGGACGTGTTCTTCTTTCAAGCCACAGAGGCTGTAGATAAAGCGGAGGCCGCTTACTACAGGCGACAGACAGATTAGGGCAATGCAGGTGAGCCTAGCCACATGAACGAGGCGGAGGAGAACGCGTTCTTGTCTCAGACTGTAGATGAAGCGGAGGTCGTTTACTACAGGCGACAGGCAGATCAAGGCAATACAGGTGAGCCTAGCCACAACAACGAGGTTGTGGTAGAGGATTGATACTCGGACGACGAGTTGCTTACTCAATATGTTTCTGACTGAGGATTTCCATGCTTTAGTAATGAACAATGTTGTATTATACTAGAACTTTCATTCTGATGTCTTGTGTTTTATTTGAACTACTAATGTATTGTACCCATGTAACGAATATTGTACCCATGTAACTTTCGTTGTGTTGTCATTCGCCATAAAAAAAATGTGGTGTAAAGGTGTTCCTTGTTGAACCTTACATAGCTACTCCCTCTGTCCTTGAAAATAAGGCATGCACGTATTTTAAGATTCAAAATTTATTATGTTTGACTAATAATTAGCCTAATTATATCCAAAGTTTGAATTATGATAGTAGTTAACTTATATTTGTATTTAGGAATAATTTCTAATGATTAAACTTTTATTCGTACAAATTATATAATATAGGAGAAAATATAGGTCAAAATATATTCTTGAAGACCGCACCAAGTCGTATAAGCTTTGTTTTTATAGAATATGTTCTTTGTTAAAAAGAAACGATGACTTGTAGTTACTTATTAGCTGCGGCTTTGTACCAGCTTCTGTTGTGCCATGGAGGACGGCGCGTCAAGGCTGACACACCATGGGCTACGGCGCGGCAATGCCGACGCGCCACAACTGGTGGTACGGCAAGTTGACGCGCCATCAGGCACGACGCGGCAAAACCTGGACTCCTTTTCGAGCAGAACCTGCTCGAGCAGCAGCCTCGAACCGCTTTGTCGATACATAGTTGATGCAGTTGCGCCTGGCTTGACATAGTTTAAACAAATTTGGACATGAGGCAACTTAGTGGCCCAAGTTCATCGATGAATACATAAAGTCAACGGATTTGCACATGATAAGCTTCGTTTGACATAAGTTCGACATGATTCGTTCAACATGATTTGAATACATACGTTCATCGATACATTAAGTTAACGACTTAATTAAGGTTACAAGTTGGTCCAGAGGTCTTGAACCACAAGTGCAACTAGTACATAATTTGGGTTACTCCAAAATAAGGCAAAGGCATGAATGATGAACGTCTTGCTGAAATGATCCTTCAACATCTTGAGCACCTGAAGGCCTTGTTGTCGGTATACCTACATTATCATCACAAGGTTAAGTAAGGAGACAAGACATCAAGTTTTGCAAATTAGGAAACTTATAAAAAACATCGACTATGCTAACCTAGACCCTACATCCCAGGAGTGAACGGCTACCTCAGACGCCTCGGTCTCTTCAGATTTGTAGGAAATACAATAGGAGTGTACCCAACATCCGTGCCGTCGAGTTGGCAGGGCTGTCGGTGCAACTGTTGCACGTCGTTGGGACCCTACAAGTATAAGATAGGCAAGATTAGTTACAATCTTTAGCATTGTTAGTTCATACATTGTAGGATCTCTGGTTGGCCTAGAGGGGGCTGAATAGGCCTGTCCAAACAAACACTCAAACTTTTATCAAATTCACCTCATGACCTTTAATCGCTCTAGAGGGCAAAGATCATGAGGCGAGATCGGGCCAACAATCGCCATATACCGCAAACAACTTCGAGTCACAGTTTAAAATCCATGAATAAAAACTTAGATCTGAGAAATTTCCTAGCTTACTGCAGGTCTGACAATCATAGATCAAGAACTATAAGTAGTAGGAACACCACACACAAGTAGATCGACTAGAAACCCTAGAAATCACCTCAACCACAATATGTCATGCAAGTAATGTAAATCAAGCACAAGTGACACAATGATTTATCCCGTGGTTTGGCTTGCCACCAAGGCTTGCCTACCTCAACGTTGTTGAGGCTAGCCACTAAGGCTTATGGCTTTCCAATCCTTCCTCGTTCTCAAGTCAAGAGACTTAACTCTTGAGATGAGGGGTGAGTTTACTAGCTTCAAGAGA